CATTAAGGCCTAAATTTAATTAAATTATTTGGATGAAAGATATTATTAGTTTTGATAAGATAAAATATAATAATTATAGTAAAATTAATTATTATAATGAAAAAAATTAAAATTAATGGTAAAATTTATATTTGGGTTAAAAATAATGATGATAGAGAAATGAAGTGTAATAAAAATATTATTAAAACCATTAAATTAAAATTGATATATAATAAACTTCATAATATATTTGTTATTTATAAAATTAAAAAATAATAAAATTATTTTTATATAATTCTATATATCAATTTTCTATTATGTAATTATTTATTAATTAATTTATTACATAATAAAATAAATAATTATAACAAACTAGTTTTAAAAGCTTTAAATTATAAAAAGGAAAAATAAAATAAAAATGAAAAACTAAATAAATAAAAAAAATTGTCAAATCAAAGTGCTTAAGTATAGGGGACATATCTGTCCATATATTGAAATTAAATGGCAAAAAAGAAAGAAAAAAAAGAGAATTTGGAGTAAAATAAGAAAACAGAGGTGCGGTGGTGTGTTGGATTTGCACCAAAAGGAGAGCATCGACCAGTGAAAAAATAAGCGGTCAATCCAATTGAAAACAACAAAATCATAATAGAGTGGTGTGCCAAACGGATTCTCACTAGGGACGGCAATCACGTCCGTTCCGACGGGTTTCGGTCCGATTCGATTTTATAAGATCGAAATTTTTTTTTTTAATTTTGGGTTTCAGGTTGATATCGAGTCGAGTAAAATTAGGTAACAATCGAGGTCGGGTCGGGTTCGGGTATGCTTAAAATCCGACCCGATATTATTAAAAAATTATTTTTTAATTAATTAATTATTTATATATATTTATATAATGATATTTTTAAATATTTATATTTAAAAAATAATATTTTATATTTAAAAAATAGTATTTTTATTAATTTCGAATCGGGTCGATTACGATTTATATAGTATCGTGTAGGGTCGGATTCATGTATTAAAAAATTTGGGTCGGATCGGGTTCGGGACGAGCAAAACCTGCCCCGAACCCGACCTGATGCCATCCCTAATTCTCACTATAACTAGAAACTTCAATTGTATTTAAGGGAATATTTGATTTACGAAATTTTAGATTTTAGAAAAAAAAAATGATCTTAAAAAAATATAGATTCATGAGAAAAGTGATTTTTTTTGTTTGGTTTATAAAATTTCAAATTACATAATAAAAAGTTTTATTATAATATTTTTTTATTATATGTGAATAACACGTGATAAATATTTTAACTGTCAATTATATTATTAAAATTATGAGAATTGAGATTTAAAATAAAGTTTTAAAAATTCATTTGAGCTTAACAAGTTATAGAAGAAAAAAATAAGAAAAACTCTCTTAATAGGTAATGAAGCATAATTACACTATTAGCTTTTATCATCATAAATCTTCTAAATTGAGCTCAAATAATCTTAAATTCTCATTTTATATATTTTCACATACACACGAGATAAATATGCATTTTAGAGTATTTTTATTAAGATTCTCAAAAAACAAGCCAAAATATAAAAGAAATTACATTAAAAATGAGTAAAAAAATGCTTACATTTTAGTGCAATCAAATGGTCGATAAGCATTACATTAATCTAATTGTTTTTGTATGTAATTTTTTCAAAATTCAATTGGTAGCATAAAAAAGAAATCAGCTTTGTGATTTTTCCTCGATGTGTACTTCCCAACAGAAAGCATTTCATCTCAAAAGAATCCGTCTAATTACATAATTTTCAATGAAAAGCAACATTTATTTATCATTTCTCTTGGTTTTTTTCTTGAAGAAAAATGAAATGCCATCGATTTCTTGTGCTACCTCACAATATGCAACTTTGAAATTACCTATTTACTTTACCAATTCAGTTAATCCATTGGAGCTCTTATAACGCTTCTTGTGTGACTTTAACTCCAAATTGAATCCGTACTAGCTCAAATAGGATGGATTTATTTTGGTTCGGACTCCATTTATATTAATCTTCTTTATTTGATTAATTAATTACTTATTAATCATTTTTAATCCAAATAAAATTAATTTTTTTTATTGAGTTGAACTTAATTTGAACCGTTACAACTAATTTTTTAAACTCAAATTTTATCAATTATTTTTTTTATCTCAACTATCATCCACTTTTATTAATTTTAAATTTCAAATCCAAAATCCAAGATTAGAATACACAACTTAATACCTTTACTTTCTTTATCTATGCCATGTAACACATTTGCGAACCAGCATGGAGAAAATTCTATTCTAACGAAATACTTTTGGGAATATTTCATTGATAGATAAATTGATAAGACATTTGCATTAGGTCATATCTTTGAATTTGTATAGGTGTTACCAAGATGCCAAGGATTGGCATAATTCGATTTTTCTTTCTTCACTAACGTTATCTCAAAAAGTGTAGGCATCTATTAGATTCTTGTTCTTGGGTGCAAATGATGTATAAATAAAATTAAGATGATGTTGATAATCTAAAAAAAAAATCATAGTAAAAAAATTAAATATTAAATTTTTATATGTTATGAAAAACTTGATGTACTGAAATTGTAATATAAAAATGATTTGATATGTTATTGAAAGTTTTATATGATTATTTATTTATTTGTAAAAGAGATATGATTTTATAGGTATTTTGCATTGACAAGTTAGAAATGGAAATAATAAATGATTAAAACAAAATATTTTCAAGCCAAAGAAATTAAATTTTTTTTGATTAATATAATTAATATAATTTTTTTAAAATAAAATTGAGTTAATTCATTAAGTAACTTTGGATTTCCATTACAATAATTTTTCATTGAAAATTTTTATTAAGTAACTTTTTAAAAATGTCTTATTAACGTACTGAAAATATAAAATTCTTAAAAATTAATTTCAATATTTATTAAAGACATCTAATCTTTATTCAGTAAAATTGAACTAAATCAAACACATCCTAAGTATATTTTAATCAATCATATCTCAATCATATCAATAATTTCAAAAAAAAAAATTTACCATTAATTTTTTTAAATCAAATTAAAAAAATATAGCACTAAAATTTCACATTCATCACTATTAAATATAAGTGATAAATTTAATCATTTTTGAGTGAAAATTTTGGATTGATTTCTATTATTTCTTTTGTCCATATATTGTAGGTGTCAAAATTTAGTATATTTAAATATATTTAAAAATTAATATGAATGTGTTGTAAATATTCTAATAATAAAATATTATAAATAGGTAAAGTTTGATTCGGCTCGATTGTAGGCATCGCCCGTTCAAAAAATAATAATGTGTATTAATTAATTATTTTCCTTTTACATTTTCACGTTATCTTTTATTAATTCAAAAAATTACAAAAAAATTATTATTTCACATTCATCTTTTTAATTATTTGGTTCAAAATTTTAATTTAGAATTTTTATAATTTTTTTTACAATTTCTTATAATAATTTTATTTCAATACATTTCCTACAAAAACTCCAACCAAAATTATATTATATATATATTTACATATTGCTTTGTATATAAGTTTTAAAAATTATAATTTTTAATATCTAAGATTCCCATATATTAAATAAATGAAACAACTTTAAAAATAATATGAATGTATAATAAATTATTATTAAACAAGTTTAATAGCTTAATTTAGTGTAAACATTTTATTTTTAGATCAAATCATGAAAATTAATAAAGAAAAAAGTTAAGAATTAATTAAAAATTTAAATTAGTGAAAAACAAAAATTTAAAATAAGAGGCAAAATCTTATACAAGCCATTTGATCGTACTAAAAACAAAACTGAAACAATAAATCCAAACTAATACGATCCGATAAAAAATTGGAATGGAAAATAATGTGGTAAGTACTCATTTATTTCGAATTGACACGACCAATGCCAGTGAACTATATTAAAAAGTTTGATTATTATCCAACACGTTCACCCTTTTATGTACTTGTTATATATTTATTTAATTAAGTTTCATTTGATTGATGTTTGATTTTATTTATTTATTTTTATTGTTATTTTTTAAAAATATATGAAACAAAAATATTTCCCAAACAGAGCTTAAATGTATTAATTTAAGCTATATTTGACTGCACTGTTGTTTTTTTTTTTGTATTTATTTTTTATTTTAATTAATTTTTTTAAAAACTAATAAAACAAAGAAAAAAAACCTAATGCATATATATAACACTAGTTTTTACCTTAATGATTTCCATATTTACAAATAGATAGACAAAAAGCAAGCATGAAATTATTATTAAAAGTGTAAATGATATATTAGTGCTTGTAAGTTATTCGAATTTGACTCAATTATTATTGAGTCGAATTTGAACTCGAATATCTTGACTTATCGATCGAGCTGAGTTTAAATATTCTTATATCCAACTTAAGTAATTTGCAAACCTAATCGAATTTTTATATTTTAATACATTTTAATTATTTTAATTAATTTGAACTTTAACTCAAACTTAAGTTCAAATATAAATAATAAAATTTTTGTCAAATATAAGATCGAACTTAATTTTACATGTTAATTGCACTTAATTGAACGAGTTCAAATAATTCAATTTTTATTTTTAGTTGAACTTAAGCTAAAAAAATAAAATTAAATCGAATTCAAGCCGAATTTTAAGCTTCGAATTTCGACTCAAGCTCAAGTTTGAACTTAATACTGTATCGACTCGAACTCAATCAATTACACCCCTAATTATCACCAATGTGTGCATTTCACCAATAAATAAACCAACTAGACTATATCACCAATACATTAATTATGACAGATAAAGATTTGTATTACAAGGTTGGTAAAGTTAAAAACAAGAATTTATACTTTTTGCCAAGGGGTGACAGGTAAGAATCTTCGTATCTCAAAGAAAACCCATACAAGTGATTTTCAATTAAATCATTAACCTCACCGTGGTTGCTGAAAGTCTTTTTGGAATAAAAGAGCATATAAAAGAGCAAAAGAGATTAGAACTGATCACTATCATCATCATTTCATTAACAAGCACTTATTACAAAGTAAAGTCAGATGATGGTTACGAGGAAAAAGAATGTTGAGTAGTCAAAGGGATGGGTAAAAAATCTGGGTTCTATACAGAGATCCATTCGAGTATTGATTCAAGAATTTAGTCCCCAAATGTGTGATTTTACCCATCCTATAATTTCTATCTATGCAGTAAACGAAAAGTCCCTATACCTCAAAGTTTGTTTTTCTCTATTTTTGAGAATGTCCCTCCATGGCTTTGCAACATGATCATCACTGAAAAGAATTCTTCTTATTGATTGCTGAAGTGGGTCAGGTCACTGTGCACCCATTTGTTATTGGTATTCTTCAAACCAATTTGCAAAATGGAAGAAACATGGAAGGCTATCTACACCAATCTTCCAGAAGGGAGAGACTATCTCCTTCCATTTAGCCAGTGCCGATTATGGTTCCCAGGTTTCAAATATGGAATTTTGGGGCCAGACCCTTGCTTAGGGAGGTCATGCAACTCCATGACCTGTATTGTCCGCTTCCTCTTGGCTGTTAAACACAGAAAACACATTCAGAGCAGTTTTTAGTAACTTGATGCAACCACAATTGAGTGGGAGATTTAATTAAATTTTGAGGCGATACCAAAATTTGACATTTGACTCAAACATAAAACAGTTCCTCAGTAACGAAGTACCTCATTTGCACTAGGAAAATATTAAGTTTAAAACAAATTTTGAATAGTGGTAGACTATAAAAAAGGTGGAAGCAAGTATTAAAAAATAATATGAGGATTAAAGAAGTAGATCAAAAGGTTGTTTTTGATAGAAATGAATGGTTTAAGATGATTCAAAACTAGGACATAACATTATTCGTTTTTTTGGCTTTTCATACGGCCGACCCTAGAGTTATGGGAAAAACGGTTTAGTTTGTTGTTGTTGTTGTTTATAATAGAGGACTCATACAGAATTTAGAGGGGAATAGACGAACCATTCTCAGCCTGTTGATATCGCTCTTGAAGCTTCCTTTTTGTTGCCTCAAGCTTTCGCTGGACAGCAACTTCATCTGAAGACTTGAATTTCTGATTAAAGAAGAGCAGTAATCAGAAAAAAGTTTGAAGGTGCATGTTCTAAGTACAAAGGGATCCTTCACTTACATCTTGCTGACTGCTGAGAGGCTTCTTAGTGAAAGCCATCTTATCTGATTTCTGCAGCAACTTTGGTTCATTGTTGACTTTTAGATCCATATTATGTTTTGGAAGTCTCCCAGACCCAATATTTGTGCTCAACGGCTTGTTAGGCTTTGCAACAGGTTCTTGTCTCTTCATTTGTTGACTCTTGTCATCCTTAGGGAGCAGATTTGCTTTTTCTGAAGTCTGCTGTTTCAGTTTTGAAAAATTTTGGTTCTCCTGTGATGGTTTTCTTCCATTATCCCGGTTCTTGATGAATCCCCCACTGCTTCGAGGATCTGCAACAGCATTCCCCGATCATAATCATTAACTAAGAAGTGGGGAATTCAAATAGAGAACCAAATGGCAAAAGCTATCCAATAGAAGCATTAGAGATAGCAAATTCTACTCACTTCCATCGTCATCCATGCCATCAAAAAACTTCACATAATGCAGCACCAGTGACGGGCAAAAATAATTCCAATCAGTCCACAAGCATAACAGCAAGAAGTTCTTTTAACAATGAATATGAAAAAGAACAAATGAAAAAAGATTAAAAAAGACCTGTGAGAGCTCCATTGATGTAGGTTGAGTAGCAAAGAAAGCTCCTACATCTAAAGGAGGAGATGGAAGCCCTTCTTCTTCTACTTCTTCTTCATCAACAACAGATGGATTCACAGATTCTGGAGTACCCTCTTCATTGACAAATTCACAAATAAATCAAAAAATGAAAAGAAGCAATGCCTATTTCCATGAATTGCCAAATACCGGTAAACTAGTTCTTACTGCTTACCAGCTATAGTCTTTGTAGCACTAAACCACTCATCCACCAATTCCTTCCAGTCACTGCAATCCACAAAACTGCTTGAAAAACATGCATCTATACGTATCTGGACAATATAAAATAATAGAATGTACTGCCGCAAAAAAGCTATTAGATATTCTTAGATCAAGTAAACAAGTCTAGCATCATCTAAGGCTTCATTGACGTGTTCAGTAAGCCACCAATCATTTATAAAAAGGACTACTGAGTGTTCCAATGTCTGTATGTTTGCAATGATGCTGAAACTAGTCAAGAAGAGTACAACCATCTATCTATACAAATCAAATGGTCCATTAATTAATATATTAACAGATTAAAGAGGCAAAACAACACATAACCAGCCTCGTTTATCCAACAGATGTGAAGATACAGCAAATGGAGGCATACGTTTTAATAACCAAGAAGAAACCAATATAGGCTGTTCCGGTAAAGTTGATCTCTCTGCAATAACAATTATACTTAATCGAAAAGATGGGGCAAGATAAATTCAAAAATGCCATTTAAACTTAGCTAACAGTTTCACACTTGACACCCAATCCGTGATTGTGAATTATGAAGCTGAGCTTATAGAATACATGCATTACAGAATCAAGAAATTTTGCCTGATAATAGGTAGAGATAGTCAATCTTGGATGGCCCTTAAGGACATACGGAAGACCGGTAAATTAACATACTTGTAAAGCTCAACAAGCACTTATTATTCTTGTTTATCACACAACATAATCAAACATTTAATTTCAGTGAAGCACAGGAAATAAACTCATACTCAATAAGAGTTTGTGCAAGATGACGAATCTGTTTGGATGAATGCTTTCTGACGCGATTAACAGCCTTTCCAATCCCAGTTGCCTGAAAAGGAAAAAAAAACAAATTACCATGTTTCAGTCCAAGTATTAATATGAGTAACAAAATGGCAACTCAAAAGAATGGAAAAGATTTCAATCAAAGGACCTTGAGAATATCTACTGTCAAAGCCATTAACTGAAGTTTCCTCAATGATTCAAACAGTACAGAATCAGGCTGCAAGAAACATGAATTACAAAAGAAACCATCCATAAAAAATAATCCTTGAAACAAATCCAAAAAAGCAATATGTTGAACTCCGACAAACAAACCTCGTCTTGACTATTGTGAAGAACCTCTTTGATCCTGAAGACTTCCCCAACAATCATAGACTCTTGTTCAATTTCGTCAGTTAAAGCCTCGGCCTCGCCATAGCTATAATTACTAGCAAATTGATTCATCAAAGGATCATCTCTGCTACTATTAGCCTTGCTCTCTTTGCTACCACCTGCCTCAAAAAACTCACATCCATCTTCATCATCAGCTTCTCTTTTAAAACTTGCCTGGCGGCCTCTACCGTTATTATCTTCATATTGAGGAAGAACCAACTCGACACGGTCGCAACCGGAACAGCGAGTGAATTTACAAGTGAAGAGCTTCTCAGCAATTTGATCTCTACGTAATCTGAACTCTTTAGGACAATCCAAAGCTGCTACCGTAATTGCATGATCGATTATATCAAATATGTCTGAATTTGCTGTCCGGAAATAATCTCTCCACTGCTCTAACGGCAAACCTTTCATCGCAATCTTTTTTTTTTTTGTGTGAAATAATCAACCCAATTCAGATCAAAAGAATCGGATCCCAATAAAATTGGAATTTTCTTATAGACGATCAAAATAAAGGCCTCCAAACTATTAATTCAATAGTGTTGGTTTTTTTTTTGGGGGGGGGGATGTTTTGAAAGTTTTGGTAATCTGACGATGATGGGGACGATCCAAAGGATTACGTCAAAGATAAGATTTGAGGATACCAACAAAAAATCAAGATAGGCAGAAATAGAGGTTGGGTTGTTTGGGTTTTCGGCAGATTCTTGTAAAAAAAAAAAAAAAATCCACGAAAACACCTTAAATTTTCTGGAGAAGAAAACTAAACTATAAAGGAAACTAAGAAAAACGCCCCCCAAAAAAGAAAAAAATAAAAGAAAAAAGTTGTTAACAACTGCCACTACCAGACAGACGATAAGAACACACTTGGGTTTTCTTCCTTCTTTCTATGCTTTCGTTTGCTATTAACTAATACCAGGGGCTGCAAAACGGCTCAGAGATGTTTTTTTCCCGAACAGCACTGTCTCTCCCTACTTTTCATTATTTTTTTTTTAATTTTGTAACGTTTGGTATGGCTATAAAGGTTTTTTTATTTTATTTTGATTTTTTATTTTAATTTTGGCTTTCGGCAATTTTTGATTTGATCGGTCACAAATGCGTAGAGAGAGAAATTGAAAAAAAAAAAAAAAAGGCAACGTTTTGGATAGGAAGTAAAAGCTTTTCCGATCTCTCTCCCTTTCCTTTTTCTTTTTGTTTTTTAAGGAAATAAAAGAAAATTTGATAATTGTGTGTGGCAACAATGCGTCCATCTACTTGTTTACGTGCCCATAGTACCTAACCTTGCCTGTTATTTTTGCCCATTCTTTTTAATTTGAACCGTTAATAATAATATTATTTAATATTTAATATATTGATAGTGTATAAAAGTTATATTTATATATTATTAATTAATTTACAATGATATTTTATTAATAAATAAAATTAAAAATAATTATTTTTTAAAACATCTTATTTTTAATAATTAATTAAATTTAAATAAATTTATTAATATTTATTTTTATAAACTTCATTACTTTTAATTTTTCTTATTAATAAGATATCATATTAATTGTTACACTTATATTCTTTCATTGAATTAAATATTTTATACACAACAATAGTAGTAATTTATTTAATTAAATTTATTATTATCCTATAAAAACTTGTCATAAAAATTATTTTGAAGCATTTATTATTCTATAATTTCTCTATTACACTCTAAATATTTTACTGCAACGATTTTATATAAATTTCATTTCATGTTTCCACTTAATTATAAAAATATTATTAACGTAAAATATTTTATTCAAGATTATCATGGAAAATAATATTTAAAATTTCTAAAACATATTTATCTAATATTATCTATCAAAAGAATTTAATAAATTTTGGTTGAAAATATGTTATAATAATACCCATTAATTTCTTAGAAAAGAAAAGAAAATGTTAATAGTAATGTGCTAGTTTTAGTATCGGAAATTATAACCCTCAAGAATCTTTAAACCCAAATTCATATAATTCTACATTGATTTATTAATTTCTTCTTCAATATCAAAATTTCTTAACAACCAAATCACTATAATAAATAAAATGTTGTTTACCATTTAAATTTATTTTTGTTGGAAGAGATTTATTTTTGTTGGAAGAGAGTCGATTGATAAAGTGAAAAAATGAGTCGTGACTCGGCGTTGAGTGAATCGCCGCATCGTTTGGATACGTGCCGTGTTCGGTACCATTCGCTTCGAAGAGCCATCGTCCTTTTTGTTGCCCCAAAAACTCGGCGACTCGTTCTTCAGCTTTTCCAAAGAGTCATCCTCCTTTTACCTCAAAAAGTTGGCGACTCGCTCTCGTACAATGTAACAGTCATGCAGCTGTGAGGAAACAGTTGCGTGGCAATTAAGGCGTGGCTAGCTTTATGGGAAAATTGGGAATAGGCAGCAAACGACTACTGACAGAGTCACACTACTGATATGCTAGATCTGCTCTCCGCGTTAGAATTAGAATTTAGAAAACCTTTTACCTAATGGCAAGCACTGGTGAATGAAGCATTTTGACGTTTGACTACGTTGTTGCGGGGTATTTTAGTAAAAGAATATGCGGGTTTTCTTTGTAACTTTAAAAGGAATGGCTTTTTGACTTCTCCATTCAAGATTGAAAATTTTTCCATTTCCAACATTTCAAAAGAGCTTGAGACAATACTTGAAGAAAAAACAAAAAATTTTGAGAAATTACAATTGTAATGGCCTGGGTTACTCGCCAGTTCCGAAGCCTGATCTAACTTGGGTAGATTTTGAGTGAAGATTTTTAAGTTGACGTTTGATTAGATTCAATTTAATAGGAATATTAATTAAATAAAATTATTTTATACTTGTATTATATTTAATTTATGTAAAATATTTATAAAATATAAAAATTTTTATATCATAAATATATTAAATTTGAAACATATTTTATTTTTAAATTTATATAATTTTTATCAATTTTAAATTATATCTTTTTATTTTTTTATTATTTTTTTATCATGTATAAAATTATCAAATTTAATATTAATTTATTATTAAAAATTATTTTTATTTAATTTTAATTTTAAAATATATTTAAAATATTAAAATACATATAATTTTATATATATTTAATATTTTTAAATAGCAGTTAATCTATTCAAGGTAAGTAACCGGAACATTGAAGTTTTAGACAAAACTTCGGAAGCGTCTCAGCTAAGTTTAGTCCGACTCCAATCATCGGCTTTTTTTTTTTTAATCTTTTTATTTTTTAAAATTAAAAAAAATATTTTTCTTACTCAAATATTTTTATATTTTAATACTTGATATTATCGTAAATTGAATTATAATTATTGAAATTATAAATTTAAGAATCTACCAATAAATTACATTACTGTTAGACTATTTTTTTTTAAATGAATAAACTTTAGTTATTATGATATTGTAGACAATTATATACAACTTGGTAAAAAAATCCCTTAGCTCAGTTACAAATAATGGCACAGTATATCACATGAAAAATATTTTACGTCTGTAATCAATAATTAAGACTTCTTCTGTTTCAAAATTATTGTTTTTAATTGATTTTTTTTTTGGTAAAACTAGCTTAACTTTGATCATTATTTTTAATAAAATAATAAAAATTAAAAAAATTTAAAATAAGATTTGTAAATTTTGAGTTTCAAAATTTTTAAAATGTATATTTTTAAAAATTTTAATTTAATATTATATTTTTAATTATAAGATAAAAAAGAATTATTTTGACAAGAAAATTAATATCAAACAATTATTTTGGGACAGAGGGAGTAAAATAGAAAGTGATTCTATCAAAGAAAAAAAATAGAATAGAAAGTACTCATTCTTGTAGTGACATTTATTGAACAAATTTCTAAGGCTTTGAATTTTTTTATTGAAAATTATCATTGATTAAAATATAAAAAGTACTTCTTTTGGTATCATATTAAATGTTCAGGTTTGATATATATAAAATGGCAGGTTATGAAAGTAAAAAAATATATAATTTGCATTTTATAATTTTAAATAATGTATAGTTTGCATTTATAATTTCTAAATTTTATATCATATTAGTCTAAGTTTTAATCTTGTTTAGTATATCAATTTGTATATATTGTATTTGATAAATATTATCAAGTTATCTGTATATCACCCATTCTAACATTTTTTTAATGTAAATTAAATATGTATATTTTTTACTTAAACAGTAAAAATTATTTAAAGTTAGTCAATCATTTTTAATTTGTCACTTGGCATTCACATGATAATTTTTACAAAATATTTCATATTTTTATCTAACAAATAACATATATATAACAAAATTATACTGGTTAAATATCATATATGCAAGTTTAGTTAATAATATTATAATTTAGATTAAAATGATACACTATTTGAAAGTTTAGGTTACAAATTGTATATTTTACTTTTTTAGATACCAATTTGTATATTTTTCTAAAGTTTTGATACCAAAAGTGTAATTAACTCTATTAAAAAAATATCTAAATGGTATTTATGTTAAAAATGTTCAATTAAGTATTCAGATTTTGAATTTGTCTATTAAGTAATCCAAACACTTAACACTATTAATGAATAATGCTGACGTTGCAGATAGTGGATAAAATTTTGATACGAAAAAAAGGAAGCAATTTAAATTTGTACATATGGCAAATGTTGAAAATTAATCATTCAAGAGTATAGATTAATGTAGTAGAATCTATTATTTTCAATTTGAAGAACTCTATAATCATTTGTATATTCGATTCTTGAATATATAAAACTCAAATACAAGGCAAATATAAGAAATAGCAAATGTACTGGTTGTATACTAAGTTAACTCCTTAATTGTAGGCATGAGTTGGTGAGAATGATTCTATTTAAATTTTACAATTCTCTTGATTTTTAGCAAAGATTATTTCTTTGGAAGAGTTTGTTTCTTTGATTAATTTTGCTTCTTTATCAGTCCCCTTCAAGGTGGAGACGAAATGTAAATAGAGTCCCATATTGCTATGAAGGAAAAGAAATAGTGCCCTTGGCAAAGACTTGGTTAGGATATCTATTATCTGATGCGAAGATGGCACAAACTGTGCTATGAGATTACCCATGGTTACCTTTTCTCAGATGAAATGGTAGTTTATTTCAATATGCTTTGTCTTAGCATGAAAAAAAGGGATTAACAGGCATATGAAGAGAACTAAGATTGTCACAAAATAATTGAGGATGAAGTAAATGAACACAAATGTTGCGTAATAAGAATGTGAACCAAGTTAACTAAGTTGTAATGGAGGCCATGGACTTTTATTTTGCTTTGGAACTTAATCAAAAAATAATAAGTAGCTTTTTAGAACACCATGAGATGCAGTTAGCACCTAAGAAAACATAAAAACCAGTAATGCTTTATCATGTTAAGAGGTATCTTGCCTAGTTAGCATTTGAAATTGCATATAAGGAGAAATGATTGTGAGATATAAATCATAATCCATAGTTTTATGTCCCTTTAAGATAGTGAAGAATGTGTTTGACTGCCTTGAGACGTAATTCTGTTAGATTGTTAAAAAATTGACAAGCTTTTTTTACTGCATGTTGAATGTCTAGTTGAGTGAATATGAGGTATTGAAGGGTGCCAACAGTGCTTCTATAATATGCTGCATCTACAAGTTTTTCTTTTGGGACATGGGACTTGTCTTTGAGGGTCATAGAAGTAGCATTAGAAGCACAATCAGTCATATTGATGTGGTTAAATAAATCCTTAATGTACTTACCTTAAGAGTGATTGACTCATCTAGTGAAGTGTTTGACTTCAACACTTAAAAAAAAAACTTAGAGATCCATTTATAGCAAACTCTAAGCTCAATTGATGATTAGGTTAAAAATGAACCAGTCATTGTTTTTTGTCACCAATATGTCATCTACATAGATAAAAAATAGTATTGCAACCAAACTTTGATGGTAAACAAACAAAGAAAAATCTGTTTGGCTGCAATAGAAACCAAGATGGAAAAGAAAACGAGATAAATAATCAAACCAAGCTCGAAGAGCTTACTTTAGTCCATAAATGGACTTGTGAAGAAGGCATACCTAATCAAGTTTGTATGGATCCATAAAACTAGAAAGTTGTTTCATGTACATGGTTTCCTTAAGATTTCTATGCAAAAAGACATTCTTCACA